CGGTACGATCAGCAGTGTGCTGGTAGCGCCCGGGCAAAAGGTGCGGAAGGGACAGGTACTTGCTGCCCTGGATGCCGCTGCGGTGGAGCAACAGGTGAAGGCCCAGGAGGTTCAACTTGGATTTGCGAAGACCGTGTATGAAAAACAACAACGGCTTTGGAAGCAGGATATCGGTAGTGAGATCCAGTTACTGCAAGCCAAATCTACCTATGAGACTGCTCAGAAGCAACTCGAGGCAACGATCGCACAACGGAATATGTACCGGATCATATCGCCGATCAGCGGTACGGTAGACCAGGTAAATATAAAGATCGGTGATGCGGCTGCACCCGGCGGCGGTGGTGGCCTTCAGGGAATTCGTGTCGTAAGCACGGATAAGCTGAAAGCGGAAGCCAGCCTGGGAGAAAGCTATCTTGGAAAAGTAAAAGTGGGCGACCCGGTAACCCTGCTGTTCCCGGATATCAACGACTCTATTAAAACCAAGGTTACCTACGTAGCCCAGGCTGTAGACCCGGTATCCCGCGCCTTTAATGTACAGATCCGTTTGGGCAATAACAGCAAGTTGCACCCTAATATGAGCTGTAAGATGAAGATCAATAATTACACCAACGGTAATGTGATTACGGTGCCGGTATCGGTGATCCAGAATCTCTCGCAGGGGGATGTTGTTTATGTAGCGAATGGTAATAAGGCCAAAGCCGTGATCGTAAAAGCCGGGCGTAATTCAAACGGCATGGTGGAGATCCTTTCCGGGCTCAGTGCCGGTGACCGCGTTATTACCGAAGGTTATGAGGATCTGGACGATGGTGAGGATATTCAGGTGAAATAGATCATGCTTCGGAACAAACCTAATTTCTATCACACTAAATCCTGCCTGTTTATAACGAACAGGTGGCAAGACTGATCATGAAAGACAATTTAAACAAATCATTTTTCCTGTCGAACTGGGCTATTAATAACCGGACGGCAGTATATATCATCACCGTTATCATTACCCTTGCCGGGCTGATGACCTATAACAGTCTGCCGAAAGAGCAGTTCCCGGAGGTGAAGATCCCGCAGATTATTGTGCAGACGCTGTACCCGGGCACCTCGCCGGAAAATATGGAGAACCTGGTTACCAAGCCGATTGAAAAGGAAGTAAAAAACCTGACCGGTGTTAAAAAAGTGACCAGCAATTCCTTCCAGGATTATTCGGTGGTGATTGTTGAGTTCAATACCAATGTAAAGGTGGATAAGGCAAAAAGGGATACCAAGGATGCGGTGGATAAAGCCCGCCCTGACCTCCCTAAAAACCTGCCGAATGAACCGGAAGTTAATGATGTAGACATTTCTGAGTTGCCCATCCTGTACGTCAATATCTCTGGTAACTATGACCTGGCCAAGCTTAAAAAATATGCAGAAGATGTAGAAGACCGGATCGAGGAGATGAAGGAGATCAAGCGTGTGGATATTGTGGGCGCGCTGGACCGCGAGATCCAGATCAATATGGACTTGTACAAGATGCAGGCTGCCGGTATCACTTTTGATGATGTGGAACGTACCATCGCTTCTGAAAACATATCTGCTACCGCTGGTGAAGTGGCCCAGAACAATAAGAAACGCATCATCAGCGTACGCAATGAATTTAAGTCGGCCGCGCAGATCGGGAATACGATCATTAAAAACGGACAAGGCAAAAGTGTGTACCTGCAAGACATTGCAGACGTGCGCGACTCTTTTGAAGAACAGGAGAGTTATGCCCGTATGAATGGTAATAACGTAATCACACTGAACGTGATTAA